AGCTGTCAAATACATCGCAGTCAACAGGTATGGAGATTGTTCATTTGTGCATCTGGTATCTGTATCTGTATAGCCGGTAAAACCGCCTTTCGGCGTAACACACTGGCTTCGCAGGTACGCGGCGCGGCGGCAGCTGGCTACATTACACTGATTGACTAAGTCTTGTTACACCTAACCCTTGAACATCTAACTCTAGACGTTGTTTAAAGCTATCTAATGACAATATTATGCCCCTACTGTACTTGGTGACAGCGAGTTCCACTCTGCGATAGTTCTAGGAAAGAATGAATTCTTGAACACCTCAATCCTTGGTTGATAACTCTTACTGGTACTTGAAGGCATGGCTACAATGTATTTCTTGTTCTCTTCTGGGCTGGTATTAGGTACTAGTATGATCCTCCAAGCTGTCAAATACAATGTACATCGTAGTCAACAGGTCCGGAGATTGCTCATTTGTGCATCTGGTTCAAATTGCATAGTAGTTACGGTAGACTGGAACAAGAACATGATAGCAGCACTGCATGGCAAGCTTCCTGGCTAGCGCTGCTATGGTGGCTAAGTTGCAAGTCTTTTTGTAACAAAACATTTTGACAAAATGTACATTCATGAATTTTAGAAGGTAGATTTTCAATTAAAAAGGTGATAATAAAGATCGCGTTTGGCACTGTCATCTTTGGCACTTATGTCTTACTATCATCTTCTATACATTAAACCGTCAAACTTGTCCAAGACAACCACTCTAAGAGACCAAGGAAAAGTGGTCTTCTTTTTCTATATCTTGATATCATAATGTATTATAATGACAAAAAGTATGGTTACAAGACTTGACAGAGAACAAGAAAACCACAGGAAAATTTCCACCCATAACCAAATTTTCGACTGTACAACTCAACTCAATTCATTTGTCATTCCTTAGTGGCAAAGGCTTGAATAACTGTTGGGCAGTCTAAGTTGGGTAAACTTGCTTCATAACGAAAACATATTGCAGTTTTCCGACAGCTTTTATTGCCATACTCCATAAATGCCAAATAAAAATTGAAAACTTTATACATTTGTACTTTGTTTTCTATAAATATTTAATATAAATATTTAAAGCTTGAAAGCCAGCCATTTCACATACTTTATGGACATAAATGAAAAAAAAATCGAAAACTTTATACTTTGTTTTCTATAAATATTTATCACTAAAAGTACCCAGTTACGGTCGCATAAGCTTTATTTATAGTAAATTATAGTTATGATTGATGAAAAACATGATATGACAAGCATGAAAGCCAGCCATTTCATGTGCTTTATGGACATAAATGAAAAAAAATCGAAAAGTTTATACTTTGTTTTCTATAAATATTTATCACTAAGAGTACCCGGTTACAGTCCTATAAGCCTTATTTATACTTATGGCTGATGAAAAACAATATGACACGTTTGAAAGCCAGCCGTTTCATGCTTTATTGACATACATTACAAATATAAATCAAAAAGTTTATACTTTGTTTTCTATAAATATTTATCGCTAACAGCACCCGGTTAGTCGCATAAGCCTTATTTATAGTAAATTATACTTATGGCTGATGAAAAACATGATATGACAAGCTTGAAATCCAGCCATTTCACATGCTCTATGGACATACATCACAAATAAAAATTGAAAACTTTATACTATTTTCTATAAATATTTATCACTCATATCACCCGGTTACGGCCGCATAAGCCTTATTTATAGTAAATTATACTTATGTCTGATGAAAAACATGATATGACAAGCTTGAAAGCGAGCCATTTCACGCGCTGCCCCGAGGCATTATCTGCAATCGTAGCAGAGACAAAATCCATTATACAAGCGGCACAGGTCCCTCGGCGTTACTGACAGCCAGGCTGATGGCAAGTGACGGGGTGGCAACGCTTCTGAACGTGCCCCCAACCTTTCGGGAAAATGGGAAAACCCGGCCCCCGATTTAAAAGGTGCAGTCAAAAATCCATTATGACAGCCACTTCTGCCACTCCACGATAGCAGATGAAACGATAGCATGCGGCAACACGTGTGCCTGGATTGGATAATTCGCTCTGCATCGTGAAGCCACTAACAAGCATCACCCGATGAATTAACCTTGTGCAAGGAGGCTTTTATATAAATCTAAAGTTTTATCTTCGAGTTTTAATAAGATGGCAGGCAGAACTTTTGCATTTGAAGTCAGATCACGGTATGTACACCGAAGAATTAACCTTCAAGTTCAACAGTCCAAGGATGTTTTTATAAGTTTTGTTTCTGAGTTTTAATAAGACGGGAGGCAGAACTTTTGCATTTTAAAGTCAGATCACGATACCCCGGTATAAAATGTTCATCAAAGAATTAACCTTGTCCAAGAATCAAGGCTTTTTAAAGTTTTATCTCTGAGAGTTTTAACAAGATGGGAGGCAGAAGGTATGTACATCAAAGTACGTAGTACATAGTCTGAGTTTTGATAAGATGGGAAGCAGAACTTTTGTGTTTAAAGTCATATCACAGTATCAAAGAAATGTATGAGTGGCCTGCGGGGCAATGATATTACAACTGTTACATTAAAGCCTAAACAAGTCCAAAATGGTTCTGAATATCTATGTACAAGTACTTTTACTCAAATGTATGCACTCAAGTATGTACATGTATCTATTTGTTACTACATACAAGAACATTATATAGTGCCCTTGCTACATGTAAAATTGTACAATTATCTACCACAAAGATGAAAATAAAGCAAGGAAGAAAACATAGAGTGACGTTGGGAGGTAAACCAGAAAAAAAGCAGTTACTGACAAGCAACTGGATATGATTTTGGAAATGGTCAGACGTTTCAGGTAGCATCCACTATCTTTCATCAGTGACACTGGAGAGTTGTCAGAAAAGCAGGTTTATAAGTACGGATTATTGATTGATACGCAAATGAGTGTAGACAATTTTATGGAAAGTCCAGAAGGAAACAAAAATTAGACACTAGTCAAGACAACGATGATGGGTGCTACCTTAAACGTCTGACCATTTCCAAAATCTTTTTTTTGGGGGGCATATCTTATTACCTGTATGACTAACCTTGACCTACGTTGGGAGGTAAAATTCTGACATTTTTGCCAATTGGGACCAGGCTCTGAGCCAAGTGCTCTCTTCTTATGCCACACGACCCACAGGACATACACTCCTTTTTGGACAGTAGATTCTTTGTATGTGAATTCCATCCCAGCCAGAAGCTTAAGGGTATTCAAGGAAAATTTTTCCCTGAAAATAGTTGTGCAATAGCGCAATTGGTAGAGTGCTCGCTTTGTAACCGGGAGGTCGTGAGTTCCAACCCCGGCCAGGTCATACCAAAGACTTTAAAAATGTTACACACTTCTTTCTCTGCTTAGCACTCAGCACATATGAGAAAGAGTGTGGGAAGGTCAAACACACAGCACTACCAGCGGACTAGCCCCCTGCTGTAGTGATTGCACAACTGTGTGTCGCCCAAGGGCTACAGAAATGGAGATGGGCACCACCCCTATGCTCTGCAATAGAGTGGAACGGGACCTTTTTTTTTTGAAAATATCTTTACATAAACCATGCCAAATATATGATGGATTGTGCAATTATGACCAAAGTGCATGTAGGTGGGAGTGAGGGGGTGAGTATGTAGGTGTAATTCTGGCCGATTTGTAAATTTTAATCTATCAATGCATCATGGTTTTAATACAAATGGGGATGGTACTTACAATCTCAGTACAGGCCTCGAAATTCATTTTTGGGAAAAGGTGCACTGGTGCACCTAAACTAAAAAATTAGGTGCACCAAAATATTTTGGGGTGCACCATATAAAACAAAACATAATTAGAGATCTTACTGCTCCTCTTTTGAGCTTGAATCCAGAATGGGAGAATAACTTCAAAATCTTAAACAAGTACTACAAGAAAGATTTGATTATTTTTCTGGCACTTAGATGCCAAGAATGTCCTGTATACTATATACATTTTGATATTTTAAAAAAATCTACAAAAATATTTGGGTGCTCCAGTGTACCCACAGAAAAAAAATGGGTGCACAGCTCCAATTTTGGGTGCACTAAGGTGCACATGCACCCAGTATTTCCAGCCCTGCAGTACTATCACACTGCACAGAAGGGTTACGTATTACAGGAAAATCTTCTGCCGCAAAATATCTCCAGACATGCAGAATGTATGTGATGGATTGTTCAATTCTACCCCAAAATGCATGTAGGCCTAATTTTGGCAGTTTTGTCAAATTTATCTAAATCCTCCGCTAGAAGATAGACTCTTGCCTCCAATTTCTGGAGCCTTGGCGTAAACTGGCGGCAGCTCACTTGATGAAAGCAGGAGCGGGTGATGTATCGCCTGTCGTCGACTGACCTAGTGCCAAGCAGGATGAGAAATGGGCCTCGCAACATTCTCCACCGCATGGCTTACTTTAGAAAGGTTGTCCAGAACACATCAGATTCTATGGTACATCTTGTGCATGATGTTTGGAATGATAAGCAGGATAAAAAGAAAGAATCTTGATAACATTCGGAAGAGTTTTTAGTTTTGTCACATATTAGGAAAATTAAGAAAACTGGTACAAAATCAGATCGACATAAGATTATAAGACATAGTGTACATTTTGCATGGGCTTGAATAAAGATTACAACATACTGTCTAGTTTTACACTGGTTGTACCCATAAAAAAACTGGACCAGGTGTGTTACACCTTAGGATGGTTTACTGGTTTTGCAAAACTACCAAACAAAAGTCCAGCTGGTAAGCTGAGGACTCAAATAAGGCAATGAAAAGAAGAAAAGTCTGACACAAGTATGCCTTATCTGAGCCTGTTATATATCTCAATATAGGCTCATGCAGCATCTGTGAAAAAACACACCATCTTTTCGAATTCTACATTACAAAAAGGAGCAAAATGGGGAACTAGACCGGACAGAGTTTCACCCAACACCCAATCGACTCTGGTGTCTAACACGTTTTCACCCTTCCTGTTTATCCTGCAGACGTTTGATGACTGTGTGGAGCAAGGAGAGCCAGACTGTGCACCGGAGAAACTCTGGATGCAGGTTCCCTTCTTCTGTGGACACGCCGTGGAGTGCTGGTAAATACATATGATTCATTCATACATTCATTCACTCACTCACTCACTCACTCACTCACTCACTCACCCACTCACTCACCCACTCACTCACTCACTCACTCACTCACTCACTCACTCACTCACCCACTCACCCACTCACTCACTCACGCACTCACTCACTCTCTCACTCACTCCTTGATTCATTCACTGTAGCAGTGTGCATAGTCCAGTGTGTAGTAAGACCAAGAGGTGATGAGGTATGAACTTGTTTTGGTACTCGTATCTGCTTAGAAATTAGGGATATGATCTCCAAGGAGATGTCTTTTAGCAGATGTTTTTAAAAATCTTTATTGCATTTTACACAGCATATAATAATAAACATTTTTTGTTAACAAGACTAAAACACACAGAAAAACTAATCCACAGATGAGGTATAACATGTACATAGCATTTGTCCTCTCTGACCATGGACCATGGAAGATCTAGAGTAGCTCTAGCCACTGTGAAAGAAGTTCCATGAGTCATTCATTCATTCATTCACTAATTCACTCATTCACTGATTCTTTCACTCACTCACTCATGCATTCATTCCTGCCTTCATTCATATATCATAATTTTTTTCTCTAATGACTTATATATATATCATACACCTTTGAAACTTGGGACTCATAAAAGAACATACATTACTATTATGTTATCCATTCCTTTCAATCTACGCTAATATCTTTCAAAGAGAGAAAACCATAACAGAATGAGAGATGCTTGGGGGTTAAAATCATCTTTATTTCAATATACAAATATATACAAGATGACTCGTTGAAGTACACCTAGGCCAGCCCTTTATCTCATTATAATTAAGAGGAGGGCGCAAGGTAAGTAAAATGTAACAAGTGTGCATCGGACATTAAACTTTTCGATTAAAATTGTTTTCTACACATACATTTCATTCATACGTATACTTACAAACAATTTTTTCTAGAACTTAAAGGTTAAAAGAAAAGAATCAAGCCTGTTGCATCAAATTTATCTTTTACAAGAGAATAGGGCAGGGAGAAACCCATAATAACGAAATATGGGAGCTGGCATGTGGTCCCTAATGCAATATAACGGCAGGTTGCAGAAATTATTGATGTAATCATAGACAAGGACCAGAACCTGATGGATTGTAATGAATAGATAACTATCTGTGCGGGATAAAGCTCACCAACTGTTGCTGGAAGTGTGATGGAGGTTCGATTTTATGGAAAATTCTATATGCAAGCTGTCGACGATACCAGTTATTGGCTCTGTGATTTTTCACTGCTCATTCCGGGATGACAAAATGAAATTGTATTCTTTTTCCTAATTATTTCTAGTATTGAAGTTCATAACATTTATATGTACAGTGAGAAGATATAGAAGTCAATACTGTTGTGTGTGATGTTTTCAGTAAGATGTTCAACCTTAGAGCAGGTGCATTTTAGGAGAAAAGGATGTTATCTTATGGATGGGAGATTCTAATGAAAAAGTCGCAGCATGCACATGCACATATACTCATCTCAAACACACATGTCAAATGCACAAGTCAAAAACACGTCAAAGACACACACACACACGCACGCACACACACACACACACACACACACACACATATAGTCACACTCACACACACACCACACACACACACACACACACACACACACACACACACACACACACACACACACACACACACTACACACACACACACACACACACACACACACACGGCACACACAGTCACACTCACACACAGTCACACTCACACACAGTCACACACACACACACACTCACACACACACACACATACTCATACACACACACAGTAACACAGTCACATACACACACACACACACACACACACACATTTTCTCTTACATGTACATTTGTACCTAGGGTACACCTATCAACATTGTAAAACTATTTTTCTAAAATAAAAAATTGACTGAACCTATCTTCGTGTATGTTTTAGGGAACCGGGAAACAGGTGGGCTTTAGAAGAGGCGAAGAGAAACCTGGTGGCCAACTACTTCCTGGTGGGAGTGACAGAGGAGCTGGAAGATTTTGTCATGTTACTGGAGGCAGCGCTGCCCAAATTCTTCAGGGGGGCAACAAGTCTCTTCCAACAAGGTGAGTGTTCATCGATCATTTGTGGTTCTGTTGTAACTGTCTGTAACATTATTGTAAATACTGTTGGAAAGACAAGGACTTCCTTCCATGGTTGTTGGTCAAAATATGAGCAGTTTGGTAGTTGTGGTAAGATTTGATGGTGTTTTTTTTGGGGGGGGGCAGAGAATTTGTAAACTTTTGATGAATGTACGTGTATGGTCAAACCTGTCTGTTACAATCACTTTAGGGACGTACTGAAAATGTTGACAATAGACAAGTGGCCACTACAGACAAGATTTTAAATGCTTGGGAAAATGATTTGAAAATGGCGGCCACAATTATAATGCCAGGTGGTTTTCATGGTGGTCACTACAGGTTTAATTTTATCTTGGTTTGTTCCATGTCAGCAGTAGTTGATTCAGCACCAAGGACAGTGAATTTGTAGCTTTTTGATGAAGGTACATTGTGTAGTTAAGCCTGTCTGCCATGATCTCTCAAAATGCTGACAGAAAAATGAACACAACAGACAAGGTTCTAAATGCTAATTTGGTGGTCTTGATTCAATGGTTTGACTTAACTTGATTTCTTCAATGTCATTGTCAATGTCAGCAGTTCTAATTTCAGCACCAAGGACAGGGAAACATGTACAACAGCAGTTCAACAGTTTTCCTCTCAACATTTCGTCAACTGCCATTAAACTGTAAATTTCTGATGTTTTGCATGTTCATAGTGATACTAACGATTTTATCCATTTTCAAGCTGTCAGATTATATTCATAGATAATGATTATTAATGCAGGCCTTAGTTGCACAAGGGGGACAGTGAATTTGTAAACTTTCGTGTACCATGTACCATGTGTAGTTAAGCCTGTCTGCCATGATCTCTCAAAATGCTGACAGAAAAATGAACACAACAGACAAGGTTCTAAATGCTGATTTGGTGGTCTTGATTCAATGGTTTGACTTAACTTGATTTCTTCAATGTCATTGTCAATGTCAGCAGTTCTAATTTCAGCACCAAGGACAGGACAACAACAGCAGTGCAACCGTTTTCCTCAAAGCTTGTCTGAAACTGCCAATAAGCTGTGAATTTCTGATGTTCTGCATGTTCATAGTGATACTAACGATTTTATCCATTTTCAAGCTGTCAGATTATATTCAAAGATAATGATTATTAATGCAGGCCTTAGTTGCACAAGGGGGACAGTGAATTTGTAAACTTTCATGTATCATGTACCATGTATAGTCAAACCTGTCTGCCATGATCACTCAAAATGCTGACAGAAAAATGACCACAACAGACGAGATTCTAAATGCTAATTTGGTGGTCTTGATTCAATGGTTTGACTTAACTTGGTTTCTTCAATGTTAACAATTCGCAGTTCAGCACCAAGGACAGGGACAGAACAGCAGTGCAACAGTTTTCCTCTCAGCATTTCATCAACTGCCATTAAGCTGTGAATTTCTGATGTTCTGCATGTTTATAGTGATACTAACGATTTTATCCATGTCAAAGCTGTCAAACTATATTCATAGATAATGTTTAATAGTTGTACTAGGCTAAGGCCTAGGAAAAAAAATGTTGTGTTTCCGGTTACCCGACCGACCCTATGAAAAACCCCCCGACCCTAGCCTTTTTTGGGCCGACCAAAAATTTCGAGCGGCTAGCGGTCGGTTTTCAAAATTGGGGATTTTATCCCCAAAAAAATGTGCTCGTCATTCCAATTTTCTTCGGTCGGGCGGCGTGGATCGAGCGCTAATTGCACGGATCGGGCCGCTATTCAATTCCATTGTCGGCACAATCCTGTGAATTGACGATGAATTGTCGATCTCGCCATGACGCCACAAAGAAAACGTTGTCATTGGTAGAAAATCTGACACCCCGCTGGCGTTTCACAACAAAATTTTCATGTAAACAACTCCGACTGTCTTTGTTTACATCGCGAAAGCTCACCGATACAAAGTAAAACTCCCGCCGGCCGGCCGCGCCCGATCGCATGGTTGCGGCATGGCGCTAAGTTTTCGGCAGCTCGACGGAAAAATAATCCATCCCCAGAAGAAATGTTACGCATGAAAATAACAACTACAACTTGTTTTCCTCGTTATATGAGTTTTTGAGGCCGTAAAATGTTTAAAACGGTTGAAATTTGCTCGAAAAAACGGCTCGAAAATTCACGGCGAGAAAGACAACATGGCCGACCTGTTTTCACAATAACAATGGTCAAAGGTCAAGATAGCATCCAAATGTATAGATACATGTAATAAGTACATATTACAGTGCTAAAACGATACTTTAAACGCATGAAAAATATTTTTCGGCTACAACTGAAATAAAAATTCAGTTATATTTTAGTAAGGTTAATTTTCAAACATTACTGAGAAATTTTCCGAATTAATTGGTTTCTTGTGTAATATTGTTGTTTCTATGTATGTGCGGTTGGATGCTGTCATTGTAAAGACCCTTTACATACTGTAGTATTGGGAGAATCAGATGAGATATTAGAGATTATCACGCTTAGTACCGTGACCCGAGTGTCTCTCAAAAATTGTTTTTGAGTGGAGTTTATAAACATGATCACATTTTTATTTGTTCAGCTGTGTCAATATGTGATTTGTTTGAGAAATAGGATTTGGTTTAGTTTTTAATATATTAATGTCAGTTAACATCTTTGGAATAAATTGCTCCAAGTTCCAGGTAGTAAATACATGTACATTTTGTATCATGTATTTTTCACTTGTTGAACTTGTGGAAGCACCGTTGGCCCCCGGTTAGGGGTCATCCGGGGAACCTATGCCCAATTTTTTCAAAATTAAGGCCACACCAATTTAATTTGTTGGTTCTCGGAATCGCCGCTATCAGATTTCGCAGAATGAAAAAAAAAAAAAATCAATTTTACCCATAGGCTCCGCCCCAGAGGAGTTGCCAAAAAATAGATCAAACCAAAACTGCAGTTTTATCAAGGGATGATAGGTGTCTCTCTTACCAGTTGGTCATGTGACGTATGGGAACCAATAGAAGGCCTCTATTTTGCATAAGAAGAGGGGGAACAACATGGCGGTCAGTTTTGACAACAAGCTTCGTCCAAGTTGCTATTAAACCTCCTTGCTTGAATGTAGGCTTCAGAAGTAAGAAAATAATAGTGTCCGGAGATGTAGGAAAGCCACAATTTGTGATGTTGTCAGAATTTCTGGTGTTGAAATTCTAGGGGTGGAAAAATTTGCAGAACTTGAGCTGGAACCAAAACAACTTTCTGCCGGTGGGTTTGATGTCCTGTACGTAGTATCCTATGTCGTCCTTGTTTAGAGCGAACCCAATATATCATTCTGAACTGATTTAGCTATTGAGACTGCTATTCAGACTATTCATTTTTTAGTTTATACAATCCAGGATCATCATATTTATCATGAATTAATAAAATCAAATACATGTAACTGTTAGGTGGAAATACATATGTAAGATCATGGCTATATATGAAAAGAGCAACATACATAGCAGTAATTAAATATATATATATTTTTTTGCTTTTCTGTATACTGTACCTTGTACCTTTCAACACGAGAGCCCCCGGGCCCCTATTTCCAGCCCTGGCTTTACCATCAGACTTCACAGCTTCTTTTTTTTTTTTTTTTCGCCCTGTCGCTTCATTTTTTTCATGAAAAAATCCGAGAACCAACAAATTAAATTGGTGTGGCCTAAGGGTAGAATTTTTTTTGAACATGAGGATAATTAAGTACAGATCTTGAACCTTTCTACTGCCTTATACATCTGCAGTTGTACAGAAAATGTAGAACTGAAGTTGCAGGAAATGACCTCCATTTGTGTTTGGAAAAGACAAAATGCAATAGCTTCCCCCCCCCTCCAGACCTCCCCCCCGCCGCATTCGCACCCTCCTCCACCCTGCTCTGAATTTCTGGGGAGATCCCTGTCTGTGTAGTACAAACAGATCATACGTTCATTGTCCCGGCTTTGATTAAAAAAAAAAAAAAAAAAAAGTAAAGAATCCCTACCTACCGACCCTAATTTTTTCTGGACTGTAATAGGAAACACAACATTTATTTTGTTAGGCCTAAATGGCACTTCAGTGGGGAGAATGCAATCCCAAATGTGACCAATCTTGTAGCCATCTTATCACGGTTCATTACTGGAATAATTTTTTATCCACATAGCCTTCTTTATCCTGGGAGTGTGACTGTTATACTCAGTCTATCATACCTTCCCCCTTCCCCAGTCAGTATTGCCCTATGGAAGTCGTGTGGCATAACGACAGTGTTCAACCGAGAACCAAGAAATCCCGGGTTCGAGTCCTGACATGCCACCAATCATGTGCCCTTGGGAAAGGCACTTAACACGACTTTCCTCACTTAACTCAAGTGAAAATGAGTATTGTCCTGTCCTGTGTCTGTTTCTATATATGTATGGGACACAACACCAGCAACAGCTGCTTGTATCTCACATGTCTATTGTATTGTTACAATTTCAATAAATCAAATCCTGTATCATCTGAATGTTTCCCTAGAAGATAGTATTCATGAGCATGTTGATATATAGACACCGTCTATGGGTTACTATCAGGAGAAAACTTCAATGAGTCCCTTGTACATTGATAACATGTGGGTCACTAGCTAGACACTTATCTTCACAACCAAATCTAGAAACAGCCCCGCTTACTATAAAGCATAGGAAGCATGGGACAAAGTTAGTTGAGCTCTACCGGTTGGAGATTTCTTCCATTCATTTGGAGATCACTTTCATTCATTCATTCATTCAATCACATCTATGTATTCATCTCTATTTATCACTGTCTACATTTGCATGGTTTCTCAACCCCAATATGTAGGCAACTAGCTAGACGCTTATCTTTACAATTAGTACTAGAACTAGCCCCACCATTTATTAAGCACAGCAAGGAAGAGACAAAGTTCGCCATCACAATCAAGACGGCGTTCAGGAGGCCAAATGATCCGAGGCCTAATGTCTGCAGTTTGTCCCCTCAAACCTTCAAACATTCACTTCATCAGTTA